ATTTCTTATATCATTTCAATGTCATTTAAGGTCATTTGAAATTTGGTCAAATGACAATGTCATTTAACATCACTGCAATATATAATTAAAAAAGTATTCTCTAGTAAAGATCTGTAATACTTGTTATGTTCTATAAAATATGGATTCTTTATTTGATATCATCTATAATATTTTATAAACTATTAATAATTATAATGACAATTGCATTATTTAATTCTAAATCATAATATTTAATAATAAGTTCAGTTTAAAAACTTCTTATGATTATAATGATTAATAACTGTTAAAAGTTTTACATCAAGTAGTTGTTTTAACATTTATGCACTAATCACTTCAAATAGATCTTTACTTGACATTAGACTAATTCTATTTTTATAATTAATGTGAAATATTCATAAGTTTTCAAGTCTATTTTTTAACTTTAAGTTTTCATCTAAACACTTATTATCTTATAATGCATTTTAAGATTTCTTTTAAAAAATCATACAAGAATTTATCCAATTGGTAATTCTACTTCAAATTGCTAAAACTAAGTAAAGATTTTAGTTTTTTATAAAGCAATTCTAGCAGAATAATAAATGGAAACCTTTAATTAGTATTTATATAAAAAAAAGGGTTGAATCTATTATTATATACTCTTAATACTTTGAGAATACATTAGTGATTTTTACTTTAGAACTTATTTAAACTAAAGCAAAAAAAAAAATATAACCTAATGTAAATTGCTTTCAAAAAGGTTAATATGTTATGTTCAAGTTAACCAATTATTACAACACAAAAGTTTATCTTGATGTTCATTTAAATTAAATTAAAAGACTAAAGAGATCAAAAGTAAAGTTAGTTATTAAACAAAAAATTGTAATTATTAATAACACTTATATTTGACTACCTTTTTTAACATATTTTTTCAAGAATTCAACTTTCTTTTTTATATTTAATAACTTCTTTTATTTCAGTTATATTTCTGCCAAGTAAAAAAATATGTAAGTCAGTTTTTTCATTAGAAAGTTTGTTAATATTTATTTAAATAAAACTTGATGATATTATTAGACATTTTTTATTATTTTATAAGTTAAAAAATAAATATTAAAAAAGAAACTGATAAGACTTTTAAAATTTTTTGGAAAGGTTTATATATAATTTAAAATAAACTTTTATCAAATTATATATATACACATAATATATATATTATATTTTGTGAATATAATTTACATGGATCAATAATGTCTTATTATGCATGATATATATAATTGGCTAAATTATTTATATAATTTAAAAAAAAAAAATTCTATATTATGCAATCTTATGTCTTATATTCATATAATTGGATTATATATGCATTTTTAGGTGATTATTGGAAAAATTATAGGACTCATCATTGGTAAGACTTTTCTTTTGTATTTTTTATTATAATAATAATAACCTTTATTATATTCACTGTATTTATTATTACTTGATTTATCTAATATCTTTTTTCACCTATACTTGTAAAGCATTTAAAGTAATTCAAAAAAAAATACTTGCAAGTTGATTATGTACTTCAAAAGTTAAATAAAGTCACTGATACTTTGATTATTTTGCAAGAATATGAAAGTATTTGGACTAAGTACTTTTCTTTATAACTATCTAATAGTTAAAATAGATCATTAAAAAATAGTTGAAATTAGAAGTAAAATCAAAATTTGACTCATAAGGATTCACAAAAACAAAATTTAGATGACAAGAAGCAGGAAGGCAAGTTTTTTAAAAGAAATAAAATATTATAAATAATGGAAAAAAACTTGGATAATACTAGCTAGTTGATTTTATTAATAAAAATATAGTTATTACTAAGAAGACTTGAAAATTGATGGAAAAAAAGCTGCTCAAATTTGAAGAACTATGAGTAGAATAAATGAAATACTATATTGATTACTTTACATTCAAATTATATTAATTTTATTAATTTTTTTTCTTTTTTTTACCTTAACTTTATTGTTTTACCCTTTTATTTTCTTTTTTTATAGTTTAGATTTATTTTGCAATTTTCAGTAAGTCTTTCATTTGGAATACTTACAGACTACTTATATCAGTAGATTTTTTTCATCACTTAAATATACTGAATTTTTGCATTGAGCATTCTTAACATACAGTAAGGATGTACAATATTAATATATGAACTGGCCTAAATTTAGGAATTATGTACTTGTATATGATAGTATTAACATTAATTTCAGTCAGTTCGTACTTTAATATTATATACCCTTACTGTACATTAAGGAATCTCTTTTGCATTATGTAGGCACAGTAAAATTAAAGATGCATTGCATAATATCTATAAAGATGTGTGATTAAAAAAAAATACAATTTTGATATAATTTTAATTTTGGCCAGAATTAATATAATTTTGGCCAGATTTATGATATGTAGATCAGTGTAACATTATATGATAACATTGAACCACTCCAATAAAATGTTTTTTTTTACTTTTGCTTCTTTTTAATTTAATTTTTAATTTTAAAAAATATACAAATAATATATGAGTCTCAAGTTAAAACTAAAAAATTGATTTTTAAATTATAAATTTAATCTATTACAGTATTTATAATACTTTAAATTTAAGTATAATAAGAAAAATAAAACATTTTGAATGCTTAATACTTATTATGACAAAAAAATAGTGAAATTATAAAGATATTCAAACTCTTTTCAAAAATTCACTTTTAAAATATCTTTACAATAAGTTTTCTCAAATGAACTTATATAAGCAAAAAAAGGAGAATTTAGAACAATATTATTTTAAAAAACTTCTTAGATCTAAAAGGTAAAAAGAAAAAAAAAAGAAATAGAAAATTAGCCAAAAAAATAAAAAAAAAACTCTAGCACTAAATATTCATACAATTCACAGACTGACATACCTTAAGTCAGATGGGTTGTAATTATGTCGGATGGGTTTATAAAACACAGTTTTTTTAAAAAATATTTTTTTTTTAATGTTAGCAAGTTCAAAAAAAATTTTTTAATTGATCTACAACTCACCTAATGTGAAATCTTGTGTTTGCTGATCAGTTTAGTATTACGCAAAAGGACCAATAAGGCAATAAAGCAATTTTATCCCGTGAATCAAATCTGCCCATATGTTACAGCCATAGATCAGAAGGAAGGGATTTTCTTTAAGAAAGAATTATTTCACATAAAGCTTACTTCTCTAGGTAGAGTTTTCAACTAACAGTGTATATGTGGAGTTTCTGATATGAGATAATAAATAGTTTAATTGCTAATAATATTAAAATAATGATAGTTTTATAGTATATTTATTTGTACTTTCTGTTCTTGTTCTAATAAAGCTTTTAAATGTACTGTAAGTAAAAAAAAAAAAAATTAATAGGTTTATTTAATTAAAAATTTTTGTTAAAAATTGAAATTAACATTTTTATCTTACTAATAGTATATAATAAAATGGCTTAATAAAATTTTAATAAAAACTAATTTAGTTATTATTTCATTTTATATAATTATTTTATAATTAAAATGTAAATCATAATAGAATAATTTGAACTATTTAAAATAACCTTATACTGTAATTGAATAATTAAGTAAAAATTTTGCAAAAACCAATTATCAAAACCCATTTAAGAAATAGTCATAAAAATCAGATTTTTTTATTTATAAATTTATACTAAATAGCAAAATTATTAATGCAAAATAATATACCCTGGAAAAAAAGATATAAAATAATATTTAATAAGAAATCTACAGTATAATTAAAAGTTTAAATTTAAGAATATAAATAATAATCTTATCTTTTTTTTATTAATTATTTTTATGAGATGTTAAAGGTGGGCACCGGCCGGTTGATTACGGATCATATGACCATATTCCGAATGCACCATGTACAATGTCCGTTCCGTTATCGTAATTAATTTTAGAATTCTTCAGATTGTCAATCATTATCTTAAAAAGTCGTAATATGGGTTATATAGCCCCATGTATAAACTGTAAATTTCATAGTTTCGGTTATGGTCGGGTAATAAAGGCCGTGTAACCTTAAACGAAACATTCAAAACAACGCCCAACGCCCAAATATATAACCAATTTTCTAATTTTAGGAATGGGCTGGATTGGCCCATTTTTTAAAATCACGTTATTTGAAGTATTTGAAAATCAGGAGATCTCATTATTCTCATGTATGTAAAACCTAGTTAAAACCTAGTTAAAACTAGGTAATATTTTTTTAATTATTATAATTTATTATTATTACTAAAACATATGTACGTTGTTTAAAATGTACATATTTACAATATTTACATTTACTAAAATTGATTAAATCATTATTATTTATTATTTCTTTTAATGTTTATGTTTAACTCTTAAAAATTTTTTGTTAATATTTAATGATTTCATCATTTTCATCATTATTTATAAATGACATTCTTTTTGTAATAGTTTAAAATAGTTTAATGAATGTTACTTATATAAGAATCATATCTACTAGATATATTCATAGTTAATGCGAAATTACGTAAATCAACATTTTTAAAGATTTAAACTATACATTTTACAAAGGATTGACTTATTCTACCTAAGTTTGGTTCCTATACCCCCACTTTTAATAAAATAATATTATGTCAATCTCACTATTCCTTTACGTAAATATTTGTAATCTATACTATAAAAAGACAAGATTCCGTGTTCCAAAGTGATCATCATCGCACGTGTTGTGGAACAGTGTACACTCGGTCATTAATAAAAGTATTTACATATATATTTTGATTAATGTTTACTATTTTCATTCATCCTTTCTCTTCAAATTTTCTTTTCCGTATATTATAGGAGCTAATTTAAGTTATCAAATCTTATTCTTTTTAAATAAACAAATAGAAGAAAAAAAATTATTTTTTTTTTTATTTAAAAGGAGGACAATGTTTTTATAAACCCTTAAAAGATATACTAACTNTACGTGTGAAAAATAAACTTGAAAGCTTATTTCCGATTTTTTTTTTTAAAAAAAAAAAAAAAAAAAAAAAAAAGGTTCGCTTTTACGCTTTTTTAATAAAAGGAGTTAAATCTGTTTCTAATCAAATTGCGTTGTAGTTGTTTTGAACCTTTTGGTTCAGCTGTACGGCGCAGCAAAAATTCAAGCCGTTATCAATCCTCTTCTTTCCCTCTTCATAAACATCAATATCAAAAATTAAATTCAAATTCTTCACCTTCACCTTCACCACCACTTTCTCCATCCATAAATCATCAATTTGTTCCTGATATAATGTCTTTTACAACAATTCCATTTGAAATATTAATAGAAATATGTGATTATTTACATCCATCAGATTTATATAATCTTACAATGGTATGTAAACGTTATAGATCATTATTATGGGATAAAACTAGTACCACAACACAATTAATTTGGAAAAGTTCAAGGAAAAAATTTATTCTTAATTTAAACGTTGATCCACCAGAAAAAATGAGTGAACAAGAATTTATTTGGTTAATGTTATTATCGAATAAATGTATGTTTTGTGATCAAACGGATAAATTTGAATTAACAATGCATTGGGAATTTAGAATGTATTGTTGTTTCAAATGTTTGAACGAAAGAACTATTTGGTAAGTAATTTAACAATCTTTTTATTTGAAATGAATCTTTTTTTTTAATTTGAAATGAAAAATTTTTATTTAAATGTTCCTCTTCTTTTTTTTTAGTAAATTAACATTGTTACATAAATATAATTTTCCTGAAGAATTGTTTGCTTGTTTATCACAATTACAAAAAAATCCTAATCCAAGAGATCCACCATTATATTTAATGAAAGATGTTGAAAATTTATTAAAACAATATAATTATGAAAAGGATAAGAAAACTTGGATTAAAGAACGACAAGATAAAATCATTAAATTAAATATAGAAAATGAACAATATAATACTTTACATGATCAAGTTAGATATGATCATACCGAAAGATTAGAAAGGTTATTAAGAAAATTACATGATTTTTATTCTAATAATAGAGTATATTAAGAATATGAAGAGAAAGATTAGGGCGAGGTGAAGAAATTAAAATAGATTAATTATTAGATTATTTTAATTATTTACCGTAATTTTTTTTTTTATCGATGAAAATAATTTTTGATTTTTTTAATTCATTTTTTATTTTATTTTCTTTTTCTTTTTTATAGTAATTAATTAAAATTAATTGAATTATTTAGATAATTAATGTAATCAAATAATTGTATGGTTTTTTTTTTATGATTCTTCACATCGATCATGATCATTGATCATGATCATAAAAAAATAAATTTACATTTTGATCGTATATTGATCGTATATTGATCGTATATTGATCAGATATTGATCAGATATTTAACACAAAAAAAAAAAAAAAATCTANAATAATTTTTGATTTTTTTAATTCATTTTTTATTTTATTTTCTTTTTCTTTTTTATAGTAATTAATTAAAATTAATTGAATTATTTAGATAATTAATGTAATCAAATAATTGTATGGTTTTTTTTTTATGATTCTTCACATCGATCATGATCATTGATCATGATCATAAAAAAATAAATTTACATTTTGATCGTATATTGATCGTATATTGATCGTATATTGATCAGATATTGATCAGATATTTAAAAAAAAAAAAAAAAAAAAATCTAGATATTTTAATTGAATTCAAATCTTTATTTATTGCATTGTTTTCTAATTGTTACATTGTTTTCATTGTTTCTAAGCGATTAAACAAACCAATGGGCACATGCGATTAAGCCATAAAGTTTAGAGGCTTTCATGTATGTGGTGGCTTAACTGGCTCAACTTTGCAACGAAATGGCTTATAAAATTAGTAAATTTTTATTGCAAACAAAAATCTTATTATTGCAAATAAATAAAATAATAACCCGCAGTTGAGTTGATGACGCCGAATTTCATATTTCATGATTCAAATAATAATAATTGATGATAAATTAATAATTTAATTTTTTCACTTTCCTTTTCCCTGCGCAAAACCTGCGCACAAAAAAAAATAAAGCGTAGTCAGCGTAGAAGCGTAGTCATGCGCAGGACAATAAATCCTTCAAATGTGGCGTATAAAGAATCAAACAAATATAAAGAACAGACGCCATTACTACGCAATTACTACGCAATTTGGCGCAGTTCACAATAGCAAAAAGTTCATAAGCGATTACTTATTAAAATGTTTGTAGAACACGTAAAAATAAGGATAATTTTTTAACTAAGCCAATTATTCACCAGCCATTAAATTTCATTTTATTTTTTTTTACCACAATCAAAAAAAATTAAAGCCTCAAAAAATATATCAAAGAATTAATTTAACGTGTCTAAATTACAAAAAATTTCGTAATTATGTTGAAGGCTTTATTTATTAATGAGTGAAATCTTTTAAAAGCTTTGCCACATAAAAAAATTGTCATCAGTTTAGGGAGGACAAAAAGTATCGGATAATTTTCATGTAATGCAATCGATATCTGTGAAAGTATTTCCCCCACAAATGCAATTTGATGCAAAGAACGTTTGTGTATCCCGTTAATTGTTTTCAATTTAATATATATTATTTTATTTTTCTTGAATCATCAAAAAAAAAATCAATAAAAATCAATAAAAATAAAAAAAAACGATAAAAATTTTTTTTTTTTTTTCATCAATCTTGTTCATCAATCTTGGAAAAATCTTGGAAGAAATTTTTTTATATAATTTTTTGTTACTTTTTTTTTAATACTAATACTTATTAATCTCTTTGTTATTAAAATTTAACTAAAGATCTTAATCAAAGTCATTACGATTATTATTTACATCAAAATATCACATCAAAATATCACATCATCATTCTCATTCAATTGTAAAAATTAAAAACTATCGGTTTAAGAAGAAGAAGAAAGAAAGAAAGAAAAAGTACTTTTTCAAAGTAAAAAAAAAAAAAAAGATAATAAAATGAAACTATTATACATATTAATTATTATAATACATCAACAATAAAGTCATATAAAGTCCTTGATAATCTGATAATCCATATCACCCATAATAACACCAACCAAAACCACCAACCCAAATGTCTAATCACCTTTTTCGATAAGGATATTCTGTGCTCATATGTAAAGTCCTAAATATCCTTTCTAATCTTTCGTTATAATCATATCTTCCAAAATCATGTTGTTTACGATATTCATTATTTGCGTTTTTCAATTCATCAATCTCTTTCTGTTTTCTTTTTATCCAATTTTCTTTTTTGCTTATTGATAATTTGTTGTATTCTTTTAATGTTTGTTTAACTTGTCTCATTAAAAATAATTGTGGTCGCTGTGCATTTGGTGCTAATGGAACAATACACGTTAATATATGTTCTGAGATTTCCCATTCTTTTATTAACGTATCACGACTTTAATAAGGAAAGAGAGAGAAAAAAAAAATAAAGATTAATTAATTAATAATTGTAATTTTAGGTAATAATAGTAAAAAGTAAAAAAAAAAAACCTAAATACATACCTAACAGTTCTCTGAGCCAAACATTTATTACAACAATACATTTTAAATTCCCAATGCATTGCTAATTTCCATTTATCCTTTTCATCACAAAACATACATTTATCCAGTAATAACATCAACCATATATATCGTTGCTCGCTCATTCCTTCAGGACAAGGAAGTGACAAGTGAGGAACGAAATTTAATCTCGATGTACGCCAAATTAATTGTGCTGATTCACTTGTTTTGTTCCATAAAAGATTTCGAAAACGTTTACATACTAGTGATAAATTGTATAGATCAGAAGGATGTAAATGACTACATATTTCTACTAGTATTTCATTAGGTAAGGTTGTTGCCATTATTATGTGATGATTGTGATGTTTTTTATGAGAGAAGAGGAAAGAAGAAGCTGATGATGATGAAAAACGACGTGATGTTCTCGGCGTTGTTGATGCAGAGTTAGGAGGAGGTTTCGGTACTTTTTTTTGAAGGGGGATTATACGTTGAAGAAAAAATGTTATGAACGCCACGGTTGATAATTTTCAAAAAAAAAATGTAAACGAGAAAGTTTTTGTTCCGAGAAAAAAAAAAAAAATTTTTTTTAAAAGAGGTATATATAATTATTATTTATGAAAGAAAAGATAATGTTGAATATATGCTCTCTTTATTATTGATCTTAACAATGAATCTTTTATTTTATCTGAAATAACGAGTTTTAAAGAAGAAGGACGAGAATAAACAAAGAGGATAAGAAAAAAAAAATATAAATTTTTTAATTAAAAAAAAAAACAAAGGAAATTATATATATATATATA